CAAGACAGTTTGCTCCATGAGGTTCAGCGGCAAATGACGCCCCAGCCCTCACAAGCCAAGGCTGGTAGTCCCCAGGGCCAGCCAGTTACTCTGCCTCAATAAAATCCCTTTGCCACGAACATGATCCAAATCAGGAGAAAAGGAAGGTACTGGTGCTTTTACCCAAAAAGAAAAGTCATGCAGTGTCTGATCTTGAGTCCGCAACAGTCATTAAAACACTTAATCAGAAGGTTAACATTAAGGCAAAAAAGATCAGTATGTTGTTCGAAAGAGCTTCGCTTCGCAGAAGGAACGGCAGTTTCCTCCGCAATCCTCATCCATGTTTACTTAGAAATAAACACGACTGAAATTCAACAGAACTTACTTCCAAGAAACCATGTCCTGCGCAAGCCACCATGTAAGATTTGCCAATCCACGCAAGATATTAACCCCTCTGCAAGTGTCTCTGTAAAGGGAGAGCTGCCTTGGAACTCCCGGAGGCCCATGGCTTTTTGCAAATACGCATCTGCGAAATAACCGAAAGACAAACCACACAAGAGATCCTCTATGCACTAGATCAGGTATGCAGTTCTGTGGACTCAGAGCCATCAGAAGGACTCGGAGCCTTCTGCATTAAGATCTGTCAGTGATCACTGATCATGTTTCTTGGAGGTGCCTTGTTCTTAATATAAGTTTAGGACTATGCTCCTAAGCGAAGGGTGCCCCCTTGCTCCCTGTCAAGACAGTAGAGATCTCCCCAACTTAATTTCAAAACTATTTTTATAATTTTTTGACAGCCATCAGAGATAGCTTTGAAGAAAAGTGGGAACCTCTAACTGTTTCCTTTCAAATTTCCCATTAATGCTTCTGCTTTTTGTGAATAGCCATGGCAAACCCTGAGGGTTTCATCCAGGACAATGTCTCAAGGATGGAAATATTCTCCCAGGTGCTGAAGGTTGCTTCCTTCTGGTCCTCACATTGCTGAGGCTTTCTGCAGAAGCATTGCAGTTCATATGATCAACATTCAATTGGGGAAAGAGAGGACCAAACAGCCAAAGAGGTTTGGGACAAAGCTTCATCCAACCTGGTCCAGTGGTTTCTCCACTTTCATGGAGGTCCTGTGCCCCTAACCTCCACAAAGGTGGAGGGCTGACTGTGCATAAGCCAACTTACTTATATTGACTTAAAGTTCCATTTTCTCAAGAATGGAACTCATTTGTAACTTTGGGACTGCTTGTATTCAAGTTGCCTTACAGGTGATTAGTGCTAGGCACCCTGGATTAGAGCCCCTGTTTCAAGTCCTTGTTCCATGCCAGTACGCTTACGAAGTGAAAAGTGCCAGCTTTTCTTCTGGCAACCTCCAAAATTCATTAGCCCCCTGCTTTTGAGTAATTTGAACCGAATTTGAGCCCAACTCTCTTTTCCATCGACTTAGGAGCAGTTCTGAAATCGGACTGCAATAGAATAAGGGAATGTGCTGGGGAGGGAGATATTCCTCAATCCAGGGAATGCTGAGGAGTCGCCCCCCTACACATTATTTCTCAGCTGCACATTATTGATTCATGATTGGGAAAATACCGTTCATTTCAGGACCTGAGGAAATGGGTCAACATATAGATTAGTGGAGCCACCTGGTGGCCACTCTGGCAAACAGCAACACACGGTTGACAGGCTTCCTCTTGACTAACACCTGCTTCAGAGGGAGCAGACACTTTGCCAGAATTGGGTAGGAGGAGGACAGGATGATGTTATGGGGGAAATGGTGCTGAGTGATGGAAATTGTCCCCAGATCACCTTCTGGAGCCACTGGTTCAAAACCCATCACCTTTGGCCTTGTGAGAGGCACCAACAAGTGTCCTGGAGGGCCCACGGGTTAGTGCAAGAGGTCTAAGGTTGCAGGTGCGAGGCAGGAGAACAGAGGGAGAGAGGAGAAGCTGCGTAGAGACACCAGCAGCCTCTGGCCGCCTCTCAACAGTCACCTAGCAGCACCCATTCCATCAGGGTATGTGAACTGTCTTCTCCCCAGCTGATGGTTATGCTAAAGCTTGCACTTTGCAATATGCTGCCATGGTTGGTTTCCTTCCCCTCCCTTCCTTTCCCTTCTCCCTTTTTTGTGTCATGTTTTTTTAACTTGTGAGCCTGAGAGTAAGACTGCCGTTTGGACTGGACTGAAATGAAATTCATCAACTCAAACCACTCTGGGAGCTTTTTGGGCTGGCAAACTGAACTAAAAAGCTACTACAAATAAATAAATACATCTCTCTCTCTCTCTGTCCCCTTTGTGAAGGCCAACACTTAAATCTTGCTGCATCATTTAGATATCAAACCCTGCCTTTACGCATCTCCCCCACGATCCACAGCCTGACACTCCGTGGCTTTCAGTCATTGTGTTTCTTCCAGACCACACAGCAGGACTGGGCCGTGGGGTGCTCTGGCCAGAAGAGGACACAGGGATGACTGTTCAGGGCCACTGGCCCGGAGTATCTCACAGGGCTCCATATTGCCCTCCTCCACGCTGTTTAATGTTTGCCCTGCGGAGATCTTTTGGTGCAAGGTGCCACTGCTATGCTGAAGACACCCAGCTTTGGTGCTCTTTGTCAGGTATCTCCAAGGAAGCCAATGAACCCCTCGAAAGCTGCTTGGGCTAAATAGCGGACTTGAAGAGGATGAACAAGATGAAGTCAAACCCAGATGAGCTGGAGAGATTGTCAGACAGCGGAAAGGCTGATGTAGGGACCATAAGTCAGCCTCTTCTGGAGGGATCAGGTCTATAGTTTGGAAGGGTTCCTTGAGCCTACACCATCTTTGGATCTTTAGGAGGCAACAGCAAGGAATGTGTTTGCACAACCAAGTTTGGTGTGTTCATTATGACGCTCCTGAACTGGTCTGAGTTAGCAACAGTTTTGCTGACTTGGCTACATCAAGTTTAGACCTTTGGAATGTGCTGGGCGTGGGATTTACCCCTGGAAGCTTCAGGTGGTGCAGAACGTGTAGGATTGGGACCATCCTTTGTGAGCCGCCCCAAGGCTTTGTTGCGATGGGGGTGGCATAGAAATGTTTTAAATAAATAAAAATACATAAATAAACATCTATCTATCCTGAAGGGCCTGCAATGGTTGCCACTTGCGTTGCAGACCCGATTCAAGGTGTTGGCTTCAACCTCCAAAGCCCTAAGAAACTCCCAGCATTTCCCACCTAGCCATATTAGTTAGGAAACGTTAGAAATTGTAGGACTGTCTACTGCCTAAACATATATAGGACTGTGCCCTGCTTGCCCTGCTAAGGGACCACCACTCCAGCTCCAAACATGTCCAGGTATTAAAATTGCAGAAGCCTTCTTGTGACCATACAATTTGCTGAAGAACCAGTCAAGCATGGAAGGCTTTCTTGTGTGTGACCCCCAAACTATGGGATGCATTCCTCAAGAACAATGTTTGGCTGCCACTCTCTTGGCCTTCTCCCAACTTCTTTGTGACTGTGGGGTACACATAGAATTTGATGGTGCCATAGGCGCTATCACAAAATGGCTGCCCTGGGTACACATTGCCAATTCATAAAATTTCTGCCTTGGTGGCCAGTACCAAAATGTTCCATTTCCCAGCAGGAAAACAGCAAAGCAACTTGTCCTGGGATCCAGGTACAAGGTAGACAGGGGGCAGGGCGACCTCCAAAGCACAAAGCAAGAAAAGATGACAGAGTTGACAGCATCTCACTGGTAGCATGGTCACCTCCCCATTAAAAGCATTAGCAAGCACTTTAAAAAATTCTTAACAAAATTATCATCAAGCAGGGTGCCGAGAGAGGCCTCCACGGGCAGATTGGTCCCATGTGCACCACGGTAGAAATGCTGGTCTCATGGACTCCTTCCCAGCTTCATCATCTTTTATACGTTTTTAGCAGCTTTCCTCACATCCTGCTGCCCCGGGGACAGGCTACTGTGGTTTCCCGAGACAGTCGATCTGCAGACCTCCTGCCTCATGGGCAAAGTTCCCCAGGCACAGCAGCAAAGGTTTCTGCTACTGCAGCTGCTATTCAAAGGGCTGCAGGTACCAAGTGCACATTTTGGACCCGCCAGATCAAACACTGGCGCCTTCCCTGGACGAGCAACTGAAACAAGGGATAAACTACACCATGGTTCCTTCCATTGGAACCAACTTAGTAGTGGACAGGGAAAGGCGAAAGAAAAATGGGGCGGCACCCCTTGCTCACCTTCCGCCCCAGCCAGCACAAGCCCAAGGCTTCCTTCTCCATGGATGATCCGTCCTCCACAGATGATTTCAAGGTTAGTGGATCACGGACTCGGCACTCCGTCCCTCCTTTGCCGGCTGTCTGACCCCTCAGGACCTACAGCTCTGCAAGGAAAGCTGGCACTGTTGCACCAAGAGCATCTTAGACATCCTTAAGAGGGGAGCTTTGTGTAACTACTTGTAGGCTTTTGCTAAAATGGTCTTAAGCTACAACTGCATCCTCTGCTGAGGTTGGTCCTTTTATCTCTTCTCAGTTTGGTGTGCAAGAAATAGGGACATACAGGAAATGTCAGGGACTTCAGGTGATTTGCCATAAATCAAGAGGAAATGAGCAGAACATCCATGTGCTGGTTCCTGGATGGGAACCTCAAGTTCCTAAAGCACTGGGGCAAGCTAACCTTGCATGCTGGAATCTTCCAGCGCTCACCTACGTGCCAGTATACTCTTCATGGCCCCTTCTACTGTTGTTTTTAGTCCCTTTCCAAAACATACAACTGGGTGTGGGGAATAGGGTGAAATGCTCACCCACAAATTGTGAAGCAGCATTATAAGCAAGATGAGGCCTCCAATAGGAAGGAAGAACAGGTTGCAAAGGACCTGCCAGGGAAGGGTCAGGACCTGCCTATCAGAAGATATTCAGCTCTACCTTTTGAGAGACACATGCTTAGCTGCCTTTCCTGAATGGATGCAAACAGAAGCAGGGGGCGGGAGGAAGGACCCTGTGCTAGTATTACAGCTCTGATCATGTTGAGAATTAAACATGAAGCCAGGCAGTTGCAAATTCTTTTCTTTATTGTCATTGTCATTTGCAAATACAATACATTAAGAATTTTGTCAAAAAGTCTCATTTTTGTAAAAAAAATACAACTTTTTAAATTACATGTTTCTGGCCTCTGGCCCTCCCCACTGCAGCTAAGCAGTTTTCTCTATCCAGAGATGCTGCCTGAACTGCTTCTTCACCCCCTTTTTTTTTAAACCCTATTAGTTACACTATATACAAATAGCCACAGAAATGAAAAGTGTCCTTAGAAAAATGACTCAAGTGTTCTCTTGTATAGTCATCAGTTCCCCAGCATGGGGCTTGGTTGTATTCTTAAATTAAAGGGAAGAAATCTGCCCTCAGCATCAGATATGAGGGGAATTACGGGCTTTTCTTTTAGAAAAAAGAATAATTAACACAAGATGCTGCACTGCCAGATTTCAAAGGGTGCCTGCAACTCTGCAGAATGAGTCAACTCCCACCTCTGCAAAAAAGGAGGTGAAAAAATTAACACAAATAGTTGGTGCACACGATGTATACACCAACTTGTGCCAGGAGGGCTTCAAACTTCATCAGTGGGACAAAGTTATCTTCCCAAAAGATGTCCCTTTCTTTTCAGAATGAGAGGCCTCCACACCGAGATGGTGCCTCCGTCCAATCCCTGCTACATCTGAGTGTCCATTAAGACCGTTCCCTGCTGCTCTTTCAATGCTTCGACCACCACGAGGACAAGCTGCAGCACAACTGTGATTCCCCGAAGCCCCCTTGTTGCTGAGATCCAGCCCAGCCCACAACAGGAAGAAGATTCCTTTTCCAAAAGTCTCTTTTTTTCTGAAGTATACATCCAATGCGGATAAGCCCCGTGGTAATCAGGGAGTACAAATGGAAGTGCCCTGTGAGAAAACAGATGGTGTTAAACAAGGTATTAAGCTATAACCATCTCTGTCTGCATTCTGGCACCAGGTAAGGCTGTTCTTTTCCAGAAGGTCATTAGGCTTAACTGCTGCAACCTGCAAAGCTGCGATCTTTTTTGTTATAGCTCTATTTTGAACTCCATTTTTTATGTTTCCCTTATGATACTGCTTTAATTTGTATAAAATATAGTTAAGATTAAAATATTTCAGTAAAATATTCCACTGAAGGATTCGTCCTTGCTGAAATTGATAACATGAGTGAATTTCAGGCCCTACATAAACCATCCCTAGGCTATAAATGGAAGATCTGCAGTAAGCATTTTCTGAGAAACAGGACAAGCCACATTAGGACAAAAGCCGGTCAAAGCACTATGATCTAGCATTAGCTGTGAAAACAGTTCTAGTCACCTTATGGAAAAATGTCCGGCAATTTTTAAAGTGGTCATGTTACCCGATAGGAAGAACACAAACCAAGTCTTTTGTGATACCTGCACATTTCTCTTCTGCTAAGGTTTTGGGACAAGACAGCAGCTGATAAACAGGAGAGATTGTTAAGAAATGAGGAGTCAATCTAGAGGAAATGTACCTTAACTTTCCTAAAGGCTGGAGTTACCAGACTTGAGGAATAACACTCTCAAGCAACAGACGTCGACCCTCCTCATAGTCATCCTCATCCACGTTGACTAGTAGCCGGATCGCCTCCTGACCCACAGCTTCTTTGAGAGAGTCAGTAATGAAGACTCCCTTCAGTGCCTCTAGCAGTGAGCCATTCATATAATCACTCCAGAAGGCATCAAGGTAGGACAACTCTGAAAACTTGATGTCACAGATGATTGAGCCCAGATCACGGGATTTGAGGATGGTGTTGGACTGTCCAAATACATCAAACTGACGTTCCAGTCGGTTCTGCTTGTTTGACATCACATTCTGACGTAAGACAGGCTCATGCTCACAGTATTCTGCACGAACACGGAGCCGGATGTCTGATCAGGGCACACAGAGGGGAGAGAGAGAGAGAGAGAGAGAGAGAGAGAGAAAGGGAGGGGGGATAAAGAGAAAGAGCGGCATTAGAGCTGCGGGTAACAAACAGAGCATGGAGACACACACACAGTCATGCAGCAATATTCCAGGGCTGGACTGTCCAACAGCCCTGAACAGGTGCTGAACTTAAAAGACCAGCCAAGCTGAAGATCCAGGCCACTCAGGTTGCCCAAAATGATCAGGTGCCTTGAGATGGTCAGTCCCAGCAAGGGGTGTTCACACTCTTATTTTTCAAATATACCTTTGACATGAAGTTACAGCTGAACTTCGCTAATACCCATCTAGCCAGCTCCATATTCCACAACTAACTGCACTATGTAACATCTCTTCAGTGGCAAACATGTATATCCTGCTTCAAATCCCACCCAAAGGATCAGAAGAAACTTATGTGCCTAGCACCCTCCCCACCCCCTTATTCTGTGCCTACTTTTAGAGCCATCTCCTCAAGTCCTGATGGTTTGTGCCAATGGCAAATTCTTCAAAAGTCTTCAAATTGCTTTCAATCCATAATGCTGGAATTAATGTCTCCAAGTTTATTTAAACTGTTATTGCTGTGTGAGTAATAGGAATGAAGGCTTTACCAACTTGGACCCTTGGTTTATCAAGGGTCATGGTCTGGAGAGAGAAGGCAGGAGATCTTAAATTAAAGCTAACCACCGACGACCAGTTGGACCCGTCTGCCTAAGAGCTCAAGCTTTAACAGCATTAGGTTCTAGCCATCTTACGACCGAGTCGCTGCAAGACAGGATTACGACCATGCTAAAGATGCCCCAAGAAATTAGTGAAGTTCAGCTGTAACTGTGGACAGTGGAAGTGGAAGGACAGATTCATTTTGTTCAATTGCCCAAAATATCAGCTCTGCAGCTGAAAGTTTAAAAGGTTCAAGAGGGAGGGAGAAATGGAACATATACAAAGTAGGATACGTTAAAAAAAATGAGGCAGGTGGTATATTACATACGCTCAACAAGGCCGTCAGCTTTAATTTCTCTGTGTCTTGTGGTCATCACCTGTAGAAGCATTAACTCAAAGTGCAGTCACAGCCCTTTACCAGCAACTTTGCACGGCCTGGAGCCCACACCCACCCATGGTAGGTAGTTCTAAGGCAGATTTTTGGTAGCCAACTGCTACTCTAACCCTCAATCAGCAGCACACATAGAACACTTCTTTCCAGATGGGCAACAGCAGAGCTGTGCAGCTAATTGCATGGTATTTGTTATTGAAGGGTTTTTTTTTTAATTCCACAGAAAATTAGCCAGTAAACGGCATTATTTCAGTCCATGTAAGAAAACTAGGAGTTTCTATTAGAAGCAGTGCTATCTGCATACAAGTCAATGCTCGATATATTGGAAGCCTTCATGACACCCACCATTACTCCGGACACCAACACCTGCTTGCCTTGATGGGGCAAGATGTTAAAGGAGTTCAGCTGCTGGGCCCACTGGAAACTGTTACCATATCCCAACCACAGCCTCCCGCTCAACAGCTGGCTATACGCACAGTGGCTGATAGGTTCCATTTTATTAGTCCTGTACATAGCTTAACATACAGACTTTTTGCATCCGTGGTTTGACACATGGTTTCATCAGAACAGAATAGCTTATCTGCTTTCCAACATCAACAGTGTTCTGGAATACTTAATGATAGCAGCTGTCATGAGTTGGCATTAACGCATTGGCATCCCTTGTGCAACAGTTACATTACAGGAAAGTGACTGGAAGTGCTTACTCCCCCAGGACAGGATAAAAGCCTTCAAGTATAGGCTACAGGGAATAAACAGTTTTGTATCAAAACTGGCAGGAAGCATGTCAACTGCAAAGATAGAGGGGAAAGGATTTCTGCACAACAGGTTTGTAGAGAGTGGAAATTGATTCCATGACTTTACCAAGCCAGCAGTAATGCAAGCCCTGAGCAGCTGCATTAAATGAGACACTTAACCTAAATGGGCAAAGTGGCACTAGCTGAGGCAGCACAAACAACACCGCAACCCACCCAAACCTCAACCTTCAGGCCCCAGTTCCTGTGAAATTATCCCACTGTGGTTGCTGTTTGAAAGTACAGGCAACTTCAATATGCATGACGGAGCCCCACACTGCAGAGGCTTTAGCCAATATTGTTTCCCAAGTTTAAATCACAATAATAAGACTGAAGGTGAAACCCCCAAGTCCACGACCACTCAAGTAGGATGGTTTCAGAGAATGAGGCCTGTCACCTCGTCAACCATGCAACCCCCTTAGCATGTGTCCAGCATAATTAAGTGATTACAAGCCAAAATCGGAGGACCCAACAAGAATTAAATTACCAGCTTCTCATAAAAAAGTTGGGACCTGCATATTGCCCTGATTCAGTTCTGCACCATCTTCTACATTCTGTCCTCTATCCCCACTTTGACACACAAATTAATGTTTACAGGCCAGCAAAACCCATTACAGACAATTTATCCGCGGAAAAATGCCTCCACTGTGCGGAAGGCAACAAGTCCCAGAGTCCAAGGCTTTGTCCCTCACAACTTGTTTAACAAGAGCGCTGCAGGGTCCAGATGCAGGATCGCTTCTAACATAGGAGAAGCATTGAAGAGGCAGCTGAAATAACCATGAGGGCCACACTTAAGTTTTTGCTTTTTAGTTTGGGTATTTTTACCAGTGTCTGGTACTTGGCCCGCTTGCCTGGGCCAATACTTATGCTTTTCCAGGGATGGATTTCAACTGTGGACCGAGAGAAACATGGTTCAAGACTTTTAGCACATGGTAACATCAAGAAATCATTCTGAGATTCAATATGGCAAAAGAACACAAAATGGCGTGAAGGACCCAGGTTAACTTGACAGACTGCTGCAGATACCAGATATCACTTGGGAATTCACACTGCAAGGACTCAAGATGTATATTCTTCTTTATTCTTGAGGACCACCAAGTGGCAGACAGATCAATGCTGGGTCACATTCATCATACTGACAGTTTACTAGATGAGGAGTAGTGAAACAATATCAAATAGATTTTGAGATGAAAACAGTGAATGATCTTGGGGCTATTAACTCTTAGCAGCTCATCCACCACTGATAAATGTTGACTGGTCAGGAAAAAACTGCCAAAGAAAACTGATGGAAATATCTGAAAGACATGTGAAGAAATTAAGGGCAAGTTTCTGCCCCAAGTGGAAAAGATTAAAAGGAGCCCAAGATGGATTCCATAGCAGCTTAGGGTGGCCTGATATCTGCAGCAGTAGCTTTATCCACAAGGGGATCACCTGATATGGGAGCTGTTGGCTCCCTGCCTAGCTAGCTAAGCAATGCCTTCCGCAGACTGGCACTTAAGACATCACCTGACAGCAGTCCCACAAGGGGAACACCCCGGCCTGTTTTCATCAGACCCTGCTGGAGGTTCGCCGTACAAGCCCCCCGCGGTGCCAGTCTGGAGTGGCTCCACACACTTCCGCAATCCCAGGAGCTGCTGGTGCAGCCCTATCCCCACTGAGCATCAGACTAGCCAATGGGTCTTTAAAAACTGGCGGTTTGAGGGGCTCGCATGCAGGGTAAAGGCTGCCCATTGTTCCTCCAGAAATAGGTAACTCAGCACACATTTAAACACGGTTTTGCTTTCACAAAAAACTGCTGGAAATTTGGGTGCATGGATTCATTTACCTTTGCGAGACCATTCTGTGAGAAGAGTGCACAAGAGAGACAGAGTCTCTTTATCATCAACTTTTGCTTAGTAACCTGGAATTTAAATGGTGGATTGAGAAAGAATTGGCAGACATCAAGCAGCAACAAAAAAAGATCATTGGGAGTTTGTATGCTTTTTCAGTAACTAAGGCTTAGTTCTTGGAGGCTGATATAGCCCAGGACGTTGCACACAGGAAAGGGAGATGGGTGTCAGATTCCCAAGTTTAGGTGTGCAGTTTGGAAGTGTTATAAAAAGCAGAGCTTGTTTCAGAAGCAGCTGCCTGGATTACACGAACCTTAAGTTCTGCCCCAGTGAAGCAAGGTAATATACAAAGTATACAGGCAACAAACTAGTGTTGAATGGAGCTTACAGTTCGATCCTTGCACCTACCCGGCAGAAGCCTTAGCTGCACCCTGGAAGTTGCAGTTTTGACACTCATTGTTTTATTTTTGAACCTTCTTCGTTAGAACCCATTGCCTGTAAATTGGTCAGATGGTAAGACAAGCGTTTTTGTGCATTCGCTTTTGTTTCATTTGCATTGCACTGACAAAGACAATAGCACATTTGCAGGGATCCTACACCAGCCCTTGACACCCACCTGCTGAGTAGGGTCCTCTTTAAATCTTACACATGTGCAAGATAAAGCACTTCCAGATAAGAAAACTGTAAAAACTGTGAGTGGTTTGTCACATGGGACAAGTCTACATGCAGATTTCACAGTTTCCACATACAGAACCTCCCTCCATATAGAAAATGAATATCTGAAGAAGCCCTGAGTTACAGGAAGGAGATATATGCTGGTCTTAGAGACAGACACTCAGTATTGAGCTGGAAATCAAGTCAGAAATCTGAAAGTAATTTATTCAGATGAGTGATAATCACAATCCAGAGAGCAGCCACAGATTTAGGCAAAATCCAGGTCAATCCAGGTAAGACTGACCAAGACAGGAAAATGAACTAATTTAGAAAGTCAGAGATAAAACCAAGCTATATCAACAGTGCTGCTAATGGCTTGATGCTTTCAATGGGAAGATGGCCAGAAGGCTTTCCATGAGATATTCCAGCCATGTAAGCAGGTGAGCACATACAATTTTGGCCACAACTTAAGGTATGGACCAATCATTCACAAGCTTCACCACCACAGTACTATTCAATACAACAACCATAGCACATGCATATTTCTCACAGACTGCCCAAGAATTGTTCTTTCTAAAGATACACTGAAGCCTAAAATAAGCCTTTACTCTTTCATAATTAACTTTGTCGCACAAAGTATTATCTATAGCATGGCAAAAATGTTCAGATCTTGTCATTATGAATACAGAATTCTTTCCTTTTTATTGTAATCATGAATGGTCATATTGTTTCAACATGAACTGAACTTATTTTGAATGCGAAATTACTAAAGAAGAAAAAGGCAGATAAGATGAACAGAACTAGGTCAGATTTATCTGCCTTGATGCTTCTCCAACTCACCACAGGAAATGTCAGGGCAGCTAAGACAGTCTCTCTCCAAAACCAGCATATCAAGTACATTGGTGCACAGAAATAACAGCCACCATATACTCCTGTCAATTAGCACTTAGGGGTTAGTAATCTGAAGGCATTCTTTTCTTCATTCATAAAGCTTTTATTTTATGTAAGAGGTTCTGTGAATTTTTTAATGCATAGTAGAGTATAAAATTTATTGATTAATAAGCCATGTCCATTTGGAGAATAGTGAAAATAGGTACCAACCAGATCACACAGGGAACTGAAGGCAACACAACAAGGAACAGATTAGAGCTTCCCCACCCTGAGAGGGGGCCAAAATTCCCACTCTCCCACTGCACTGCAACCAAGTCCTACCACCAGATTTAAACTACATTTTATATTGCAAGCCAAAACAGAAGTTCACTCAAGTAGAACAGGCCAGCCTACATTACACTTAGACATGTGGTACTTTTTTACCCCCAACCAAACCTATTCGCCCCCTTTGGCTCCAGCCAAAGAGAGGATGTACGACTGATCAGACCTTTACCAGAAACCAAAGTTGCTAATGAGCAGTTTAGAGTGGTTTCATGGGCATTATTTAAAAATTGGTTCAACTCAAGGGAGCCCCAGGAACACAGCACATGAATGGCAAACACCTACCACAGGTCACTTTGGTGGGAGTTTGGATCTCCTGCTTTGGAGCAGAAGCTGCTTTGGCTCCCCGGCGCCTGCGGGGAACAGTAGACTTTGCTCGGCCTCTGCTTACTCGCTTTCTTTTGCTGGAATTGGAGCCTGAGGAAGCAGAAACCTAAATGATTATCTGGTGCAATAGAAGCCTGGTAATTAAAAGGTATGCTGCTCTTAACCCTTAATTTCATTATTTTGAATACATAGTTGTTTACAAACTATTACCACCTTTTGCCTGAAAAAAAAAAATAAAAATGTTATCTGTTAATATGAAAGACAAGACATAGCCAAGTATATAAAAGCGGCATGAAAACTAGCAGCACAGTATAACATTCTTAACTATACTGTGAAGCATGTATTTATATGAAGTAAAGAAAAAGGGATTAAATCATATCTCTAAGCAACACAGCTCACACACCTGTCTCCCATTGATCGTGATGAGGTTCTGCAGAGGCTGAATTGAGACAATTGTCCACTTGTTGGTCTGATGACAGGACAGATGGTCCATAAGTGTATCTCTCAGGAGAAACTAAAATTAAAAATGTTTAAAGTCAAATAAAGTACTGCATTAACCTGGAATAATTCTACAAGAGGACAATACCACTCTGTCAAAGTGGAGCAGGTATCAGGTCTACAAAAGTACTTACGTAAATGTTTTAAGCTAAACAACATCTAAGCCCAGTTCTCCTATCCCATATTGCTAACAATCCTGAATGAACAAGCCTGAAAGAGCTCAAATGTAAGTTAAGATTAAGTAATACTAAAGATGATTTTTTCAATTTTACTAAATCAAGTCAAAAAGAAAATTAATTATACTTTACTTGCTGCTATAATCAGTACCTGTACGCTGCCTTTTCAGGGTGACATATGGCAGTAGATCATGCCTTGTTAGCACTCTCAGGAGCTGCAGCAACTGCACGAAGTTGGTTTCATCACATTTCCCCCTCCTTTCTAGCTCCAGAAGCAGCTGGACACCATTCTTGGGCCGCTGCCTATCTGCAGCAACCTCAAGACTACCATCAGTTTTGGCCAAATTACATCGGTGCTGATTTTTCCTCTTCCAGCTCTCTAAGACAGGTGAGGTGGTCTCAGAACCATCCTCCTCTGTTGCTGCCACAGCCCAAAGGGCAGGATCCAGTGGGTGGGTCCAGGGCTGTGTCTCATCCAGAAGGAAAGAAAGCACTTCCATATCATTCTCTGTGAGCTGGGAGCCAATCACCTCAAACATTCGATGCAAGGAAATCATCCCATAGTACTCTAGGCATTCTTCCTCCTCCCAGATGTGGGCAAATAGTGGCCTCCTCATCTCAGCCATATAGATACACTGATCCTAAAAAGGCTGAAGCAGTTATATACTAGGGAGTGTGAACAAATCTGAGGGACTGTGAATACTGAGGGACAAAAAAGATGTCTCAGCAGGTGGTGCAAGTTGTAAGAATTAAAACTACAGAAATTGCTTAGCAGCTGAGAGGAAGAATCCTTTTCGAGAGATTGCGCAACTCTGCTGCACAGGTATCTGTAAAGACAAAATGGCAACCATTAAGACCGTAGCAACAACTCGAGCTGCTGCCCTTCTTCGCACCGCATGGCACGATATGCTTAAGGTATCTTAACCAACCAAACATCTGACCAACCTCGGGCGTCACACCCTGTCCTGCCGCTGTTTGCCAGGGAAGCGAGAGCAAAGTGGGGGCGGCAGAGCCGCAGGGAGAGGCTCCCTCCAGCGAGCTGCGCTTCGCACGGCAAAATGCTGTTTCATGGCCGAGCGGCCGCCTCCTCCCAAGGCGCAAGGCACCAAGGCACCGCGAGAGGGCAGCAGCTCGGCCCCCGCGCACAGGAGCCCAGCCCCCCCCCCCCGCCGCCCGGCGCCTGTCACAAGGGCAGGCGCACCCCAGCGGAGCGGCGGACGAGCCCCGTGCGGAGGCTCGGGCCAGCCCGGCGCAGAGCCCTCCCCCCTCCCCGTTCCCAGAGCCTCCGCCAGGGCAGTCAGGCCGGCCCCGCCCCTGCAGATCCTCCCACCCCGCGCGGCGGGGGGGGAGGGGAGGGGGGGCAGATCCCTCTTCGCCTCGCGCAACCGACGTTCCCCCCATTCTTCCTCCCCACCACGTCGCTCTCGCCCCCCTCCCACGTCGTGTATTTCGCCAGCTCAACCCTTCGGCGTTCGGGATCGCATTTCCTCTGCGAAAACAAGCCCCCCCCCCGCTCTTCGTAGATCCTTGACGCCTCCTCGTACATTTCCACTCCGGGCTCAGCGGCGACCCTCCCCGCCCCCTCGCGCGGAGCCTCCCCCACCGGCCACTTCAGGGGGAGCGGCTCCCTGGCCGCCCCTCCCCTCAAAGCCCACCACGGAACGGGCTGCTTCTTTCTACCCCAGCCGGAAGCCAGCCTCCTTTCTTACCGGGCCTCAACAAGAGCACTTACCGACCCTCCGTCACAGCAACCTGCCCGCACCGCCGTTTCGATCTTTCTGGTACCTTCGACACGTCTGCGTCGCCGCTCAACTTAACCCCACCTCGCGCCCTTCCCCCACTGCGCATGCGTCCGGGGCTGTTTATTTTCTTCTTTGCTCCCACCCGGCGACGCAAGACAGCCTCCCGCGCATGCGCCGCCCAGCTCCGTGACGCAATAACCGCCGACGGCGCGTGCGCCGCCCTTCCCCGGCTCACGCGGACGGCCGGCTGGTGTCCTCGTGACCCACGTGTGTGGGCGGGGCTGCTCTACGCCCGGCCTTCTTCGGAGAAAAACAACATCCCGCGGGGACTCCGTTCCGCGGGGACTCGGTGCTTCTCTGACACATTTCGCGAGCTAAACATGTCCTAAGTTACGACACGTTACGCTATGAATGCAGAGTTTCCTTCCGGCTCCTGCCTATTAAAGACGCGAACAGTTACAATGCTTATGTAAATAGTACGGGAGAAACCAGAGGGAACGTGCTGATTACGTAAGCAGGGGCGGGCGGGGGGCAGGCGCAGATCTCTGCTCGCCGCTGGGCGGGGCGAGCAGCCCGCCAATCACCCTTCTCCGAGGCCCTGCTCTGAGTGGCCGCAGCTCGCCCGCTGTTGCTGCCCCTCCCGCCCGGGGGCTGGTCCGCCGTGACGTCACGGGCGGCTCGTGCCGAACTGCCCCCCAGTATCGAGGCCGCTGGTTGGCTCCCCCGCGGCGGCGGGGAGCCAATGAGAGGGCGCGGTGCAGCCTAGGCCGAGCCGGTCCCGTAGGAGGAGAGCCGAGGCAGGAGGAGAGAAAGCGGCGGTAGCAGGAGCGGGCCGGGCCCGCAGGCCGGGTAAGCGTGGCGCTCCTCCCACCGCCCGAGGCCCCTTCCGCCACTGGCCTCCTCTTCTGTGTGTATTAATTGCGTGCCTCCGTTTCCCCCCTTGGGATCATGTCACCCCCCCCTTTCCCTGCCACGTCAGTTGGTGATCTCCTTGCAGGTGTGAGCTTGCGGATACCATGGCAGAGCAGCTGGTTCCATCCTTGTTCTTTCATCAGCAGTGCATGTGCTCGAAGGGTGAGCTTCTCCACAGCACTTCAGAGGGGGTGCTGATCCATCAGCAAAGCCATGTGGGGGAACTCTATGAGCTGTGGACCGCAGCTGTGGACCCGGGACACCAGCAGGACAACCGCTGTCAGTGCTTGGGGTGTGGATGTGTCCTTTCATCCCCTGATGAACTGTCAGCTCACCAGGAAGTGCATCCCAGGGACGTAATTGACAGCATCCTGCACCGGCTACCATTGTGCAGATTTGCCACTAATGCAATGCGTGTAATGGACTAATGTAATCGTCTATGGTTGGCAGACTGCCGAGCACACCAGAAACTAGAGGGGTCTGCTGATTCCCACCATTTTCCTAAACAGCCTTGCTTCTGTCGCAATGATCTCTTCCACCTGCTCCACCTATGCATCCCTGTGAGTGCTGAGGGTGTGCCTGTTTCCTCTTAACCCCAGATGAATTGCTAGAACACCAGGGTGAACACTTAACTGAGATTGAGAGTAGGGAACTGAGATGGCAATCCAAGGGGCTTGCATTCCCTATGTATCCCTGCAATCATGCCTTGAAGAAGCCCTAGCAGTAGCCCCACTTGTTATGTCGCAGTGTGGGTTAGCACACTTTTGGTACAGTGGAGACATGGCAGCAACATCAGCAGGAGCACATGGGAAACAGTGAGGAGTTTTTGCGTGGTAAATGCCAGTATGGCTTCACAACAGTCAAAACGGTTTTTGACTCACCAGTAGGTTCCCACAGATGGTAAATACAAGTGTGCAAAGTACAAAGGTGAAGCACTATCAAGCATGGACTGTGGACTTGGCTGCTCTACTGAAATGACCCTGATCATGCATGGAAGGGCCATACTGCCAACCTTCTGCATTGCTGCCACTGTGGTAAGCCATCCAGGAACATGACCAATTTCCTTTACCACTGACACACGCAAGCTGGTGAAAATGGGATTCCTCCTTCTCATGGAATGGGGACCATGCATCCAGCCAACCTCCTGTGCCAACATTCAGTGATGAGAAGCCTGTTATCCATGGCAATTAAGAAAGGGAGGGGATTGAACCATTGACATTAGGAGACATGCCCAGTGTTGGGTTCCACCTCCACTTCAGTATGGAAAGGCGTCCTACATCTGGATGGTGTGGTGCAAGTTCACGTTCTGGCTTGCAAGTACAAGTATTCCAACTTTAGCATAAAGTTCAAAAAACAGGTCGAATACACCTGCAAATGCAGCGTGATGAAAGAGTGTCAGAATGTCGCGAGATGTTTGTGTCCTAGGCTAATCTGCCCCGTCACCCTGTGAAACACACAAGGGAGTGCCCCTGCGACTGCCCATTTTTAACAAGTGCTTTGCCTTTTCTGCCAGCCATCCCTAACATGGCTTCATGCATGTGGCACCTAATAGAAAGGGGTGTCACCTTGCTAAGACGGTGGTGTGGTATTTCCCCAGCCCACCCATTGGCCCTTCGCTCACTGTGCATACTTGGAAGCACCCCTCCCTCTCTCCCAAAACATCCAAGACACTGACTTGTAAAGCCACAGCAAGACTCATACAGAACAGGCTGATAGTTGGGTTGCTACATCCACCTGGCTTTCTTGTGGCTACTGGCCAGCCCACCCAAATTAGGAGGTGCACTGAGTTGGGAAAGACTATTACTACTGTTGCAAGTGCTACACCTCCCAACTTGGTGGAATTGATAGAGATCTACCAGGATTCTCTTGATTATGCCATCTGGGTTGCTCGCTTTGTATAGGATTCAAGCTACCTTTAGCTCTTGTTTTCCCAAGAGCTCAGGGCATGTTAACAGAGGCAAACTGCAGCTTTCTTCTGTGGATCAATCCAGCACTTTTCTCATGCCAACAAAGCCAGTGTACCAATTGTACATAGCTGAATTCAGTCTGTTTAGTTTTTCAACTGGGGCCAACCTTCAATGCATCCATGTTCTCTAGATGCATTCTCAGAACAATGCCATTTTTGTGCAGGGGTTGGTGCTGTGCAATGGAGTTAAAACTGCCATCACTGCTATGACCATACCTTTAGTGCATTTTTAAAAAATTGTTCTGTTCTTTCAGTTCAGCCTCTCTTGGTAGTGTAGTAAGCTGGTGTACCAGGATTAGTTTTCCACTGGCATGCTTGATTCCTTGAGTTCAACCTAGGTTCAACATTCCTTCCTGTCATTGATTTGTCTATTAAATTATTCTTTTATTCCCAGGAGAATTATGTCTTTTTTCTGTTAATCATGAAAGCAAAGCCTTTTTTTTCTTGTTGGGGTCATGGTCTAGGTATGATAGGCCTATCTCTGTCTTTGAAAACTTTACAGAAGTAGTGCTGGAACGAGCCTATTTCACTCCCTGTAGCATAATCCGAACTGGCTACGTTCATTACATATCTTTCAGTGCAAGATGCAAAGTGCTGAATTGCCATTTTGTTTTTAGCATGTGACTAGCTGAAGGCCCAGCCTAGCTTTTTTTAGTAGTGGAAGGAAACCCGCACATCTATTTTAGGTGCTGAGATACTTTGATCAATTTCTATTTGCCTTATGCCTTCAATAGGCAAGAAAGAGAAGCCCAGATCTTTCAGGGATTTTCCAGTGAAAAGATTAGCATGGTGAGGAAAGGCAGCTGTTACTTCTGAAGACATGAACTTCAGCTACAAAACCAATTTGTGTCAAGGTTGTTATATTTACTCCATCATCAAATGGCTGCTTCCAAAGCTGTTACGAAACAGCAGATGTGGATCTCCTAATGGGCCTGTAGACAGTGGTTTTATTGAGTTGTTATTTCTAGGGATAAATTAAGACTGCCTAAAGGGTTATTTTAGGATAGCATGAAAGACTCGCTTGTTAAATTTAGCAGACAAGTCATGTTGGATACATGCATAGGAGACTTCCTTCTAGAAACTGACCTAGAATTCTGATACATGGCTGGGAGAACCAAGCATGCCAGTGGAAAACTAATCCTGGTACACCAGCTTACTACTCCACTTTGCTCCCCTTTTGATCATGCTAGGGGTTTACATTACTGTACAAAGAAGGTCAGATTTAATTTCAGTTTGGAGCCAAAGGATGAAACTTTAAAACTTTTCTAGTAGCTGCAGTTTATCCAGACAAAGGGGAAAGGCAATAAACTTACTGAGCGAATAAAGCTTTAGTTCATGATCTATAAACATGTTATCACAAATATACACAATATATAGCTATCCTTTCCAAGGTACTATTTTACTGCAGGCCAGAACACAATTCCAGCCTACGTTTTGGTGCACTGCTCTGTTTTTTCTGGTCCTGAACTTAGTAGTCCCTGCACCAGGAGCAAGCACTGGCCTCAAACACCCTCCTCCTTGTCAGGGACACATTTCTTACCAGCAACTAGGATTCCTCAAAAGTAAAGCAAAAACTGCTGGCTCCTTCAATTTTACTTTCTGACAAATGAGACTCGTGTAGCGAGCCGTGTCCACTTGCGGCAGCAATTTTATGGCTGTGAACAGGCCATTTTCTGAAAGTCCACACCATTTCCACGGGCCGTATTTGCCTACATTTGCTCGACACTCATTTTCTCCTTGCTGCAGTGCTGCGTTGCACTTGTGCTCTTGCACCTGCATCCTAAGCCAACATGCATGTTTACCTGACTCCTAGAAACCTGATTTATGCTATATAGAATTCCTAGTAAGGAGTTGGTATTGGATTTGGTCCCCTACTTTAAATACACTTGGAGAAAAATCAGTTGTTTGCTGATATACATAGTGGGCATGCTAGACCTTTGCTATCAGGATACTGAGCTGGGCAGGAAGAGAAATTATAGTGCAAGGGAACATCTAGAGCAGGGGTGGGCATGCCTGTCTCCCCCCCCCCCGCCCGGATGTTTTGGCCTACATTTCTCAGCCCTAGTCAGCACAGCCAATCATGATGAATGATTTCAGTTATAGACAAACATCTTGGTTGCTTCAGGTGGATTTAACTAAATTACACCTCATGATGCTGATAGATTAAAGGACTTTTCTGTGCTACTATCTTGATACCTTTGGGATGCAGGTGGTGCAGTGGTTTAATCCGCTGTGCTGCTGGGCTGGTAGATTGAAAGGTCACCGGTTCGAATCTGCACAACAGAGCGAGTTCCGTTGCTCCATCCCAGCTCCTGCCAACCTTGCAGTTCGAAAGCATGCAAATGCGAGTAGATAAAAAGGTACCACTTAGTGGTCAGGTAACAGTGTTCCGTGCACTTCGGTGTTTAGTCCTGCCGGCCACATGACCACGGAGACTGTCTGCCGGCTCCCTCGGCCAGGAAACGGAGATGAGCAGCGCCCCCTAGAGTCAGGCATGACTGGACTTAATGTCAAGGGGAAACCTTTACCTTTACTTATCTTGATACCTGCTGTTTGAAGGAACAGTTCGTTTACAGTACCCACACAGGATAAGATACAACTGGAAACTAGCTTTATCATATGAAAAAAAATGTAATGACTGAAGCCAGCTGGGTTTTTCCCCCTTAATGTCATAATATTTCAGCCTGGTGTTAATATTAAAAAAGTTACACACACAATCCAGGGAAGTCAGCAGTGCTACTCATACCTGGGTGTGGAAGCAACTGCAAGCTTTTAGCCGTTCAACAACAAAACCCGCACACCCCTCTTTTGCGTCGTTGCATTAAGTGCTCTATGAGTGTACACACAGTAAGCAATTATATAGAACGTGCCCGTGACTCACTGAAGCGTGTCACCCTTCCCAGAGGATATTCTTGCAAGCGTCCCTGTAAGACGCAACGAAACTGGGGCAGCAGCTTCCTGGGGATTAAAAAAAAATCCCACAAGAAAACCAGGTGCCATGGCCGTTGGGGAAATTGGAGAAGCGGGGAAAGGTTTCCCTGGCCCCTCTAAAAATGCAGATACTTCCCGGACCATTCCGTTCGCAGCCGGTACTGCCGTGGCGCCAAATCCGCGCGCGAAATGCGAATTACGGGGTGAGCCCCGAGCAGCGCCGCTGCTTCTCACTCGAATCGAGGAGACAAAGGGTTACAGCGCTTACGCAAACCGGACGGGAGGAACCAAGGAGACTGCGCTGATTGCGTAAGCAGGGGCGGACGAGCGGGGGCGGGCACATATCTCTGCTCGCCGCTGGGCGGGGCGAGCAGCCCGCCAATCACCCTTCCCCGAGGCCCGGCTCTGAGTGGCCGCAGCTCGCCCGCTGTTGCTGCCCCTCCCGCCCGGGGGCTGGTCCGCCGTGACGTCACGGGCGGCTCGCGCCGAACCGCCCCCCAGTATCGAGGCCGCTGGTTGGCTCCCCCGCGGCGGCGGGGAGCCAATGAGAGGGCGCGGTGCAGCCTAGGCCGAGCCGGGCCCGTATGAGGAGAGCCGAGGCAGGAGGAGAGAAAGCGGCGGTAGCAGGAGCGGGCCGGGCCCGCGGGCCGGGTAAGCGTGGCGCTCCTCCCACCGCCCGAGGCCCCTTCCGCCACTGGCCTCGTCCTTCTCCGCTTCTCTGCCCCCACCCCTCGGAGCGGCAGGCACGCCTCCCTCCCTGCTCCCCTGGGCCAGCAGCCCCGTGGAGGGCTTCTGCAGCTGCGGGAGTTGGAGCCCCCAGCCTCAGACCGGCGGCAGACCCCTCCTCCCCGGCGCAGAAGAACGCCCCTTGCCCCGTTCGTTCTAGGAGAGCAGTGGTGCTGGAAGTGCATGGAGGAGGAAGGGTGTCAGTGTGGGGGCGGGAGGAACAAGGCTGGCAGCAGCCGTGCAAGCCAAGGAAGGGTGCTTTGGGGTTGGCAACAGCCGATTTCGCCCCATAGAATCGTTCTTATTTGATGTCCTGTCAAGCATAGCAGACCTCTTCTTTATTAGGATTTCATGAAGACTTTTCCCCAGTATCTTCGAAGCAATCCTTCCAAGGAGGTTAGGTTCATTACCATAATAAAAATACCCATTTTTTTCCTTCTTATAATACAGAGAACCTCTCTTCTTGTCCTGTCATATTTTCATATCACATGTTGGCATATTCCGAAAAGCCTGTGATTCCTTTCATATAAACATGCCATAAATATGTGGCTCAAATTGTTAATTCTGTTGGTCCATGTTCTGCTGCCCTTCATTTTCTGTCATATTCTGTCCTTTCAATCAAGTAATCTGCTATCTTTCCCCTTGCAGTTGTGAACTTGCAGATATCATGGCAGAGGACCTGGCTCCGTCTTTGTTCTTCCAGCATCAGTTCATGTGCTCAGAGTGTGGGCTTCTCTACAACACTTTAGAAGGGGTGCTGATCCATCAGCAGAGCCATCTAGGGGAACCTTATGAGCCTACAGCTGCTACTGCAGCTGTGGACACAGGACACCAGCAGGACAACCGCTACCAGTGCTTGGAGTGTGGATGTGTCCTTTCATCCCCTGATGAACTGTTAGCTCACCAGGAAGTGCATCCAAGGGAGGTGCCAACTCGACCACAACCTCCACCGACTACCACTGGACAGATCCGCTACCAATGCAACGAGTGTAATGAACTCTTTCCTTCTACTAGCCTATGGTTGGCACACCGCCAGACACATCAGAAAAAAGAGGCATCAGCTGATTCCCACCTGTCCAGTCCACCACCTCCACAGCCAACACCATTGCTTCCATCCCAGTCATCCGTTCCACAAGCGCCCCTGGCAACCTCCTCACCACCAGTGGAGTCATTACGTGCATCATCGCCTCATCCAGTTCCACCTATGCATCCCTATGAGTGTTCAGAGTGTGTCCGCCTCTTCCTAACCCCTGAGGAACTGCTGGAACACCAGGGTGAACATTTTACTGAGATTGAGAAAGAGAGTGGGGAGCCATCTGAGATAGCAACCCAGGAGACTTGCAGTCCCCGCGTATCCCCACTGTCGTGCCTTGAAGAAGCCCCAGCAGCGGCCCCACCTGCTCAGTCCTTTTCTTGTAGTGAGTGTAAACAGGATTTTGGTACACTGGAGGCACGGCAACAGCATCAGCAGGAGCACATGGCGAGCAGTGAAGAGTTCCTCTGTGGCGAGTGCCAGCGTGGGTTCACCACTGCCAAGCGGTTGTTGGCTCATCAGCGGGTTCACGTGGACGGCACATATGAATGCCCGAACTGCAATAAGATCTTTAAGAAGGCAGCCTCTCTCGAGCAGCACATGCGCATCCACAAAGGTGAAGCCCTCTATCTCTGTGTGGACTGTGGGCTCGGCTTCTCCACTGAGATGACCTTGATCATGCACCGCAAGAGCCATACTGCAAACCCTCTGCACCGCTGCCACTGTGGCAAGACTTTCAGCAATATGACCAAGTTCCTTTACCACCGACGCACACATGCCGGCAAAAGTGGGATTCCGCCTTCCCGTGGAGCAGGGGACCCTGCCGCCAGCCAGCCTCCCGAGCCGGCCCCCAACAACGGGGAACCCGTAGTCAATGGCTCAGTCCCCTCCTTTTCTTCACCAGGGACCTCGGGAGATGTGCACAGTGCTGGGTTCTTGTGCCCTCAGTGTGGGAAGGCATTCTCCACGTACATCCGGATGGTGCGGCACAAGCGGGTAGTTCACGTTCTGGAGCGCAAACACAAGTGCCCCACCTGTGGTAAAAAGTTCAAGAAGCTCGTGCATGTGCGGAACCACCTGCGGACACACACTGGGGAAAGGCCTTTTCAGTGCTCAGAGTGTGGCAAGACCTTTGTCTCCCAGGCTAATCTGGCACGGCACCACGTGACACACACAGGAGAACGTCCCTACCAGTGCCAGGTTTGTAACAAGCGCTTCACTCAGTCTTCCAACCTCCGTCAGCACCGCCTCTTGCACATGGCACCCAACGGGGAAGGGCCCCACTCTTGCAAAGACTGTGGTGCGACGTTTTCCCGAGCCCACCAGCTGGCCCTCCACCGGACTGTGCACACAGGGTGCTTGCCCTTCCCATGCCCAGACTGCGACAAATCCTTCCCGCGCCGCCGGCTCCTAGAATTGCACCAGCTTAGCCATTCTGGGCACGAACCCCACCGCTGCCCCGACTGTGGCGCGCTGTTTGCGATGGCTTCCAAGTTGCAGGAGCATCGCTGTGCCAAGCGTCGTGAGCAGCTGACGGCACAGTCTTACCCCTGCCTGGCTTGTGGCAAGTACATGGGCTCCCTGGCCAAGCTGGCACTGCACCAGCTGGTACATTCCGGCCAGTGTCCTTACCCGTGCCCACTCTGTGGGAAAGCCTTCACCAGCTCCAGTGGGCTGAGCCGGCACCAGCAACGCCACGCTGGCCTGCGTCCTCACAAGTGCTCTCTTTGCGCCAAGACGTTTGTGGCAGCATCCGGACTGCAGCTGCATCAGCGCATCCACACGGGCGAACGCCCCTTCCCCTGCCTGGACTGCGGCAAGGCCTTCCGCCAGGCTACCCATCTGCGGGAGCACAGGCGCCTGCACACTGGGGAGCGCCCCTACCGCTGCCCAGACTGTGGCAAGGCCTTTGTGCAGTCCATGCATCTTGCGGAGCACCGGCGCATCCACACGGGGGAGCGCCCCCACCCCTGTCCCCTCTGCCCCAAAACCTTCAAGACGCTCTCCAACCTGCGCAGCCATCGCAAGACACATGCAGAGCCGGCCGGTGGCCAGGATGCCCTGCCGTCTCCTGGCTTTCTTGTGGCCACTGGCCAGTCCACTCAGATGATCATGTGCACTGAGCTGGGGGAGACTATTGCTATAATCGAGAGTGCCGAACCTCTCCCTTTGGTGGAGACGATAGAGATCTACCAAGCTGCACTCGATGGCAACATCCAGGTTAACGCCTTCGTATAGGCCCTGAGCAGCCCTGAGGTGCTCTTTGCCCACGTGCGCCATGCCGATGGAGCGCAGCCTCCATTTTTCCGTGCGCTGGCGGCAGAGCCTGTATACTAATCATGCAGTGCTCAGATTCAACCTGTTCGGGTTTTTGGGGCCTCGCTCCAACTCATGTGCTTCATCTGGAGAGTTTCTCATAACAATGCCTCTTTTGTGCAGGGGTTGGTGCTGCAGAATAGGGCTTGGTCATCCATCTTTGCCATGACCACACTCTTACTGCAAATTAAAAAAACAAAAAACAAACAATCCTTTTATTCTCTTTAAGTTGTTATTTCAGTTCTGCCTCTACTAGTAAGGTCCAGGAGCTCACGCAATACTTAAACATTCCCTCCTCCCATTCACTTGTCTATTAAATTATCATCCTTTCCCCAGGAAATAGATGGCATTTTTCTTGTTAATCATAGAAAAATGAAAGCAAAGCATTTTCCTTTCATGATGGTGCCATGTTGCCTGACCTTTGTATATCTCTGTCTCTGATCATTTTACAGAAGGAAGCGTTTTTGAAAGAGGCAACCTGTTTCAGCTCCTACAGCTTATCAGAACAGGCTGTGTATGTTACATCTGCCTTTGTAATGCAACATGTAGAAGTATAATGCCCAGATTTTGCTTTTAGGATGTGACTGACAAGTCCAGATCTTTTCTTTGTGATGAAGAGAACTCCACACACCTAAAGTGATATTTTAATCAATTTTTAACTTTTTAATCTTTTTCCTTCAAAAGAAAGGAAAAGCAAACAGTGACTCCTGCAGGCATTGTTAGACAGGGTTCGGCCAGAAAACCCATGAAAGGAGTTATATTTGCTGCATCATCAAGCGGTTGCTTACACAACTGTTATGAAACAGCGGACTTGCCAAATGTATCTTCTGTGGGTGCTGTAGCAGGCATAAGTTTTACTGAGTGTTTGCCTCTAGAAGTATATTAAGAAAGCCAAACCAGGAAGTGGGGGTGGGGGGGGAGGTTAGAACATCATGAATGGCTGAGCTGTTAACCATAGCAGATCAGGATTACGGGCTACATGCATCAGAGACTTCCTCCCAGAAATGCATCTGAAATTCTAGCATAGTGTCAAAGACACCAAGTTGCCTACTTCCCTACACTCATTTTCTCCTTGTCGCTGTGATGCACTTGTGCTTCCGTACCTGCATCCTAAGCTGATGCACGTTTAAAAATATCTGACTTCTAAGAACCTGCATCATACATACATACATACATTCATAGTCAGTTTGATGTCAGATATAGGTTAGTAGTTATTCAAAAGACATGAAAAGCCAGGTTTTCAGATCTGAATCTCCTGATTAATCCAAGTTAGGGATTCATTTAGTCAAGATGTCTACAGATGATGGAATGAACACTTGTGCATAAAAAACTAAGTTACTGTTTGTGAAACAAATACCTTTTCTATGCTACCAATTTGACATCTACTGGTTTAAAGCAGGGTTCTTTACAGCCAGGAATAAGCTTTACCATATGAAAAAACTACTATTTTGAGGAGAGGCTTCCCCTCAATTTAGATTGGTCTTTTTTATACACGCGTGCGCGCATGCACACACACACACGTTATACAGAAAATCCAGGAAATCCACCACTGCTACTTATAGGTAGGTGTGGAGCCAGCTACACCCTTTAAACAGTTTTTTAAAAAAATAAGCCTCACACATACTTTTTGCATAATTGCATTACATGTTCCATGAGTGTCCAGAAACACAGAAGGAAATTAGGTAGCATGTGCACTTGGCCCACTCAACAACAGGTAGATCACATTTATTAAAATACTTCCTTCCACACATCTTTCTAAGAAACTAAGACAGTACAGTTGCATCTTCTAGAGTCTGCAGCATCTACAGTGGGCACATTTTTAAAAGATCCAAAAGACAGTGTTGTGACCCCTTGGAGACCTTTTTTATTATGGCCTCAGCTCATGCTGCAATGCTTAACAGCAGGTTAAGGCAAATCAACCGCATTATTACACATCACATAGTCATATTCTGGGTAATTTTTTCTCCACAGAACAGCATTTTTTGTGGTGAGGTATACAAATGAAAATACCAAATTATCAAATAATCCACAGTTCTGTGGACAAATTGGGTGTTCCCTTCTCTGGACCCTGAGCTGCCACTGAGGAAGAGATTAGATGCCCTGGACTTGTGTGCTCACCTCCCTGACAGAACTAAATAATCACTCCATAACAGTCATCCATGGTCATCTGAAGTGGGGATATCCTTGCTTAAGACTTTAGCTGTTCAAGGCCTGGGGAGATCCCACATTTAAACACAGAATTTGACAGTTTTTCTCTGAAGGGAGAGCATGCAAACTTGAGGGCTAGGCCTGATTTTATCCCAGGGGAACGAATATTAACAGGACTTGGAGTTAAGGTTACACAGACAGGCCTTCTGTGTGTCAAGTCAAGGGCTTACTTCAAGCATAACCAATAAGCACGTTTGCTTATCCAGAACTTACGGAAAGCCACACACTAGAACATGCACATTCCAATCAAGTATGGCTAGGTTCTCAAATTTCCTGCCTACATGCCATTCAGACACCTCTCCCTATCTGGAATTCCTTTATATTTAGGTAACTCATGATCCTTGAAGTAGTCCCTTGTTGCCAGAGGGGGCAAGTATAGAAACGAAATTCAACCTAGGTCAGTGATAGGGAATTGGAACAGAATGTTCCCTCATTCATCATCATTTGCTACTGGCTGAGGATAATAGGAATTGCAGTCCATCATCATGGGGGAGATATCACCCATCTTTGACTTATATTATCTTTAAAACCATACAAACCTGTGGGGGCTGAAGTTAGCATAGTACATTTCATAAACGGCTGTTTTCAGAACCACATTTTTAGCCTGAATATTAAAACCATGGCTGCGCAGATCAGAGAACGGAAACAACTGAGATCCAAGGAAGGAAAGGATTCGACCATCATGGCTGGAGCGCTTACACAGCGGGGAACACAAAAGCCTTATCCTGTAGGGGTCCCCCTCCCACTTACCCCTGCAAGTGGCCGGACCTCCCTGCCACGGCTATCAGCATCAGTCTGGACTCACCTGCGTTCGCCAGAGCCCTACTCCCCCCACGGGTCCGGTATGCAAAATAAGCAGCCCCATGCCATTCTTTCCGTTCATGCCAATAATTTATTGAACCGGATGTCTGTACACAGCCAAAAAACCTAAGAAAGAAACTAACACACAATGTTGGAAGGGAGAAGAGGGCAGTGATGAGGATGGATACCGGGGGGGTGGGGGGGCTTTTCCACAGGCTGCACCCTGGCTCCCCAGGGGGAACCCTCAATCCTAGAGTGATTTGGAGAGGGAAACAGGGTTCAGGACAATCATTGCAACATTTCATTAAGAAAAAAAAGTAATCTATTTACAGGGAAAATGGTAAAAGGAAGCTTGTGAGGAAGAGGAATGGGGAAGAGATGTATTTACAATGGGGGTGGGGAGGAATTAAAACTCGCTTCTTCCATGCTCCTTTAGAGTTCCCCCTCCATCCACACCGATTTCTGGTACTGGGGAGAAGTCCGCTACAGGGGAGCGTATGCAGCCGAAGCTTAGAAGAGGCTTTTGCCACTGACCCACCTGCCTGTGGAAGATCAGCTCTAATACCTGCCCATACAGAAGAAGAAGAAAGGATTTCCCAAAAGAAATCCAGGTGCTTTCGCTGTTGGGAAACTGGAGGAGCAAGGAATGGTTGGCCACGCCTCTCTCACAATCCAAGGCAAGGGGGAGAGGAGTTTCTTGTTCCCAGTAAGAGATTATGGTGGAGGCACAGCCAGCAAGTGACAAGGCTTTGTGGGGGGGGGGGCGGTCAGGAGGAGAGGGATGGCCCTCATTCCCCACCTGAACAGGACAGATTGAGTTTATTGGGATAAAAAAAACTGACCCGCTTAAAAATACAGCATCCGTGTTTCAGAGGCAGACAGGTCTGGTGCAGATGGACACCCAGTGAAGAAAGAGTGTGGCGTGAAGAGCCACAGGGATGGAGCGCAGCGTGTGGGTGACATGAGTCTGGAAATAAAACCATATATATATCTCTCTTTTTTCTCCAAGGGATGTTAAAAACAAGAGCAACTTAAAATTGGATTGGGGCATACTCAGGGATGGCAGGAGGAAGGAGGGCAACGGTGAAAACTTTTGGGTCTCTGCCCCTCCCTAGAGGCACCGATCAGAACCGCTTTTGAAAAAGGGAGCCCTTAAGCCATGGGAAGTTTCTGCCCTCTCCCCATGCTGAGGCATCGTGGGACAACATGGGGGGAACTGCGAGTGATACGGGGAGATAGGGGCCTCCCCCTCCCGTCCAAGTGGCCATCTCCTCTCCAGTTGGCCTTCCCCTTGGCCAACAGGGGGCAGGCTCCACATGGTCCCCGGGCCAAAGTTGCTTTCCCCCACCGTTCACAGTTCAGAGAAGTCCATGTGGGTGGCCTGGGGGGTAGGGGGTAGTGGAGGGAACCTGCCCCCCGGCCCAGCGGCCCCTCAGGATGTGTTGGCGATGGGTCCTGCGCCATCTCCCGGCGTCACCTGGCTCCTGTCAGTTCCCATTCTTCCCTCACCTACAGAGAGAGACAGAAGGACAGACAGGAAACACTCCAGTGGAATGCAGGACCCGCCCTCCCATTCCCAGAAGAGCCAAAACCTTCCTTGAGCGCCCCGGAACAGAGGAGGACGAACGGCCCACGCCCACAACTGTTCTTTCTCCAAACCTCACACCACGCGCCACGAGAAAGGAAGCACTCACTGTGTGCAGATGTGGAGCCAGACACGGATCCCACTGAGCCAGCCTGGGACCGAACGTGTGGTGGAATGAGGTTGGAATTCAGCCCCGGCTGAATGGATAGCTCTGCAAGGGAAGGGAGACAGGACTAGTCACACAGGCGCCTTGGTAACGGACCATCGTTGTTCCTGCATCTAATACAGAGGAAGCAAGTTGGCTGGAGGGATGGGATGGGATGGGACGCAGACCTTTCGTCAGTCTCTCCTGACAGCTCCTTGGCCCCTTCGAGATGGAGAAGTAGAAGCCTCCATTTTGAGGTTCTATTTCAAACTTAAGACACAGGTGGTAAAATAAGCAGGGAAACACAAGGGCCCCCAGAATGCTTAAATCTTCTTCACAGGAAAAAGACTTTACTGATCTGTAACGGGGATCCCTTAGTTCCTGCAAAGTTACCAACATAAATTAGGTGTATTTAATAAGCTATCTAAGTTAATGCAAAAACACTGCAGAAACAGCCATGCAAGGATGGGGAACAGAAGCTGGAACAAACAAACATGAAAGCTTGGTGGGAGGGGGGGGAGCAGCGCTGCAGCTGGTATCGCTCTTCCCGCTACTTGGCATCCATGTTTCTTTTTCATTGTAGCTTCCTCCACCCCAGTCCAGAACGCCTGCCAGCTCTTTGTCTCGGCACAAGGAGAGGCGTGGATATGGAAGGCTCAGCCGCAACTGGTTCGTCCTACTGGGTCAGCACGACGGAGGCACGGCAGGGTGTGGCAAGAGCTGACCACACCGGGGTCAGGCAGCCTTTCAGAACTTCGGATGCAGCGTTTCGTTCCTCCCTCGGCTGTTTAACTGATGTTCATCCTGTGTCTACTTACTGGAGTCCACTCGTGCATATGTATGTATATAAGGGAAGTCGGGGCAAACAGCACAGAACAACCCACATTTATCTATTACATTTATACCCCGCCTTTTCCTCTTGCAAGGAACCCCAAGGCGGCTTGCACAGTCTTCCCACAACAACCCTGTGAGGCAGGTTAGATGAAGTGTCAATGACTGGCCCACGGCCCCACGGCCATGGCTAAGTGGGGACCAGAACTAGAACTTGGCACTTCTGGGCCCAGTCCAACCCCTGCAAGGACTGCACTGCACTGCCCTGGCCCTTCCCCGAAGAGAATGCATGGAATCCAAGGCGGCCCATGCTCTGGGCGACAGCTTCACAGCAGGGATGAAGAACATGTGGGTCCTCCGGAGGCGGTGCAACCACAATTCCCATCAGCCCCAGCCAGCATAGCCAATGTGGAGGAATGAAGGAAGCGGCAGTCCGATGACAACTGCAGGGTCACGTATTCCCCACCTTGACTTTACACTAGTGACCCAAACAGAAGACCACAAATGCTAAGGGAGCCTGAGAAGCAAAAGGGGCGAAAGCGTTGCAGGGGAGTAGGAGGCGGCAGTGGCTGAGCCATTCGCAGCGTTCGCGGGACTCCCAGCTCAACGGGGGCATGTCCAGGAAGGAGCGCCACCCAAGGCTTCCCTGGCACATGTTGCACTTCCCCAAACCTCGCTTGACGTGTGAAATACGCCCCTGCTTGCGCCCCACTCCCGTGTCCGCCCCCACGCCACCTCTCGGCCACTTACCCACGGGGCTGAAGTTGAAGAGCGGGGGCAAGTCCCGGCCATTGGGCAGCCGAGCGTTGGGCTCCCGCAGCTCATCAAAGAAGCTGTTGGCGCACGCCTCGAGCGGGGAGAGGCGGGTGGCCGGCGTGTACTCCAGCAGCCGGCTGCACAGCGAAATGGCCTCAAGCGGGGTGCGGGGCTTGAACACCTGGAGGGAGGAGACCCCAGAGGCCGGGGCGGAGGGTCACCTGCAGGCCCAACACGTGCCCCCGGTGCCCTCCATGCTGCAAATCCCTCCCCGACTGGAACTCTGCTTCTGCTCCAGAGGCCTGGCTGGCAACAAGTCTTGTGGGGGAAGGACTCCAAGGGCAGGCACAGCTCTCAGCCTCTCCCTGCGGCTCCACATCCATGCACAGAGCTAAGCAAAGGCGACAGTGATGTGCAGCTCCAGCCAGGCAGGACTAAAGCTGCCAGCTGAGTGACAGGATAAACTACACAGAGGGAGATCACTGCATCTCCCCCTGCTTCTGGGGCATACAGCTGACTGCCTGGCCCGAGTCAAGATCCTCCGCAGTCATGTTTCTCTTTCCTGCCATCATCGCAAGCAAAAAAGACCTTCCTGCGACGCCCAGCTCCCGTGGAAAATGCTGCTTGAGCTGCACAACGAAGCACAGGCCTCGCTCATCCAGTCGGAGGGCTTTGTAAGGGCAGAACTGCAGGGGCCCTGGTTTATTCGAAGAGCCAGTGCGGCAAGGGGACTAAAGCACCTGGCTCCTTTGGGGCCGAGGCCTGCCTCAGCCAGGAACCTTACTGGATGATGGGAAGAGGTGGCCGGTGACAGTGTTTGAGCTAGCCTGGGTCTTTCAGGAGGAACAGCAAGATAAACATGTAAATAAACGAGTGTTCAACAAACATTTGCATTCAGCTTGCACAAATAGCATTACTTTCCTTGGGCTGCTTGGATGCAGATCCCCCCTCCCCCATTTTTGAACCACTGGACACACAAATTTGACTGTGCCAAATTCTCCCCCAGCACAGCGAAGACCCTGATGTTCATCACTGCGAGCTTAGAACCATTCACAACCTCAGACAATGCAAAGCAGCATCCCCAGTCCTCCCCATCTATCCAGAACCTCCCCAGTCCTCTTCACCTTTATCCAGGGGTGTGCTTTGATCTGGGGGAACTTGAACTCCGTGTAGTTTGGGTTCATCTCTCGGATCTGTTCTCGCGTTGGTGTCCCCAGCACCTGGAAGGGGCAGGATGGGCGGAAAGAGCAACATCACAACCAGAGAAACAGAGCCAGGTCACATGGCATATTAGAATGGCCATCAGCCCGCTTATCATGATCCACTGGCACTTGGATGGGGCAAAAGAAACCTATTAAAAAGAGTGGAAATCAGAGCAGTCCTTTATATTAACATTCCTTTTCCCAGGTAATTAAGTAGACAGCTGGTTTTACACCACAGGAAAATTAGGTGAGCCACTTTCAAAGGCTGCGTGCCTGTAATTCTTGACCTATCACACACTCTGCGGAGTCAGAGTTGATGCAACAAAAAGCGAAACCATGAGGGTATTTTATTTATTTAATTCATTTATATTCAGCTCAATAGCTGAGGCTCTCTGGTCCCACGTGGATGCTCCAGATGCCACAAACACAGGTTACCCAGGCAAACAAGTCCGTACGGAGAGTATCCGAAACACAACGTCTGAAAACCCCTGAGACGGGCCATCTATTCGGATTCCTGAGCTGGAGCAGCTGAGCAATAACGTGATCGGTTCATTACCTTGATGATCTCCACCAGCTGGTCCACTCCACTGTCCCCAGGAAAGATGGGCTGCCCCAGCAGCAGCTCTGCCAGCACACAGCCTGCAGACCAGATATCTAGGAAAGAAGCGGAGAGGTACTTCAGTGGGGCAGCTGGTCAGAGCAGAGAATCTTAAGGCTTGGAAAGGATCCCCATTTGGAACCCTGAGGAGCTGCTGTTGGCCAATGCAAATTCAATGGAGAAATGGACGGGCTTGGCAGAAAGCTGCCTCCAGTGACTTAGGAGCAGTTAGACCCCACTTTACCGCATAGTGGATGTGGTTTCAAGGAGCAGTCCTTTCAAGCCATGCGTAAAACATTTCTCCTGTCAGCAGCCAGGTCCCAGTGCTGTTACTCTTACAGTGGGGCACGGAAAAATGTTCTCTTGACAAGGGGGTATGATGAGAAAAAGTTGCAAGATTAATTGCGGGGAGAAGTTTAGATTCTCACCTATGTTTGAGGTGTAGTCAGTGGCCCCAAAGATGAGCTCTGGAGCGCGGTAGTAGCGAGAACAGATGTACGAAACGTTGGGTTCTCCTCGTACCAGCTGCTTTGCACTGAAAGGGGGAACAGCAAAATACAGCTTTCTATGAAGAGCCAGTGCAGCACCTGACTAGGACTGGGGAAGGTGAGGTTCAAATCCCTGCTCAGGTTCAGCCCAGTGAGCTACCATGGACCTTTAACCTACCCCAACAGGTTGGTGTAAGAATAAAATGAGAAAGGAGCGGGGGGAACCTAATCACACAGCCCCGAGCTCCTCAGACGAAGGGCAGGACAGCAAATATATTTAGGACAGGGGCACAGAACCTCAGGCCTGAAGCCACACTCCTCACCCCTTTCCCCTAACAATCCTGATGGTAACGGGAGGATCTTTCTGGTGGTGGCCCCATCATGCAATAATATCCCTAGAACGTACGCTTGGCATCAACACCGGGCTGGTTTGCAAGATCAAAATAATCCCAGAATTGCCCATAGGTTACTGGAGGGCTGTTCTGACCTTCCACCAAGCCATGCCACCTGCGCTTGGATAGCGGCAATTATGAAAATCATGCCTGACATTCCCCAGTGGTTTCAACGCTCCACTGAGGCTTACACAGGGCATGAGCTGTTGACAGACGGGGACACCCCTCCATGCTACGCTCCTGGGCTCAGAGGATGCGACATACTGCCTGGGTGGCGAGTACAGAAATCATATCCCGCATGTGCCATCATAATTATTTCACTGTGCAAAAGAGCCATCTTTTTCCACTGTCATCTTTTCAGTAACAGATTAGCACGTTCCTCTATTCCCAGGCATATGAAGGGAGATGGAAGGCTTATTGCTAATGGTTTCAAACGATTTTAAACTTTTTTATATTACAGCTTTTATATGATGTTTTAACACACTGTGGGCTGCCCAGAGAATGTAGGCTTTTCAGGGGTACAGAAGCATAAATGAGAAGAAAGAGTGTGGTACACCATGACAGGTTGAAAGGAGGCAGCGACACACGAGGCACGGTGACCTCGTTCGCAGACCAAGGCAGCCCACTGCGGATTGACTAATCCTCAAGCTGTTGGGACACGTGTCGCCCCCACCATTATGAATATGCAAGCCCTAGCCAAGGCTCCCTGTGGCTCATCATGTTTCTTGAAGTCAGGTTACAGAGGTTATTTGACTGGGGAGGGTCGGTGCACTCCTAAAACCGGCCGTAGATTATACAAAGGCGGTTGAACTTTCGAATAACCCCAGCTGGCCAGCCTCACAGAACACAGGCCACCGCGATCCCCGCTGCGCACTGCTTATTCATATGGGGGGCGGAGTCAAGGACCCCACAGTGGGCTGCTGTGCCACGCATGCTGGCCTGCTGGAAGCAGAGTGGCGTGTACAGATGTGAGATCAGTCACAGATGTGGCTGAAGGTTTCGAGCCAGGCAGGCAGAGGTCGGTCTCCTGCGTGCTCGCGATACCAGGCCAGCCTGTAAATCCATGCAAACAAGTCCACTGGGCAGCAGCTGCGCTGCACACGGGTCCTCTTCCAGGCCCCCCTCACCTGCCAAAGTCACAAAGCTTCAGTACCGCCGTATCAGGGTCCACTAGCAAGTTCTGTGGTTTGATGTCCCGATGGCACACGCCTTGAGAATGGATGTACGCCAGACTGCGGAACAGCTGGTACATGTATACCTTGTGAGGGAGAGAAGACAGGCTTCAGCTGCGACAAAATGAAACGTGGGCCTAGAGAGGCATTTACGCTTTTATGCAGAGCGCCCGCCTCACTCCGTGGTACAGATGGAGCGAGTTCAAGAGGAGCCTTTCACACGACGCACGACCCGATCTGCGGGGCCTATTGCCGTGGACGCTGTGATGGCTGCTGCCATGGGACCGGCCTTGTTGTATCAGGGCCAGCGCCCCAGTGGCTACAGCAGCCAGCCGCGTCTTTGGGAACTTGGAAGAGCAACACATGCTCCTCCTGCGTTCATTCCCGGCCCTCCAAAAAACACTGCCTCTGAAATGGAGTTTCTATTTAGGCATCTTTGCTCATCAACTTTTGTGGGTCTTGGCTTGACAAAGCCTGAAGCCATCAAAGCAGGAGGCCCCACCATCCCGGTCAGCACAGGGGTGTGTGGTCCTATACACCCGGAGGGCACTTGATTGAGGGAAGCGAAAATAGATGCAAAAAGGGTATTTACAACTTGGGTAAGAGGCTTCCTGTTAAACACAGCATGAAAAGCCATCCATCTGCTCAAAAGGCAACACCAAGAGATGCGTCCAAGGAAGGGCAAACAGGATTGCAAACTCCTCAGCACATGTCTCATTTTCCTTCACTAAATAAGACACATAGTTTAAATTCAAGGGCAAGGGGTTGGTCCATCCGTCTCCTCCCCACACAAGGGTTTTCCAAAAGGGATCTCTTTGTTTGATGCCCCAGCCCAAGAAAGCCGACTCTCCTGAGCCAGGGCCCCTGGGACGAGTTGCACTCTGCACGCAAGGGGCCCCATGCAGGGGACGTTCAGCTCCTCAATCTGGGAAATCCAAAACCAGACCTTTCCAAAATGACAGGCATTCCAATTGCCGCTCTAAAGCCCGACACTTGTAATGAAAGCTCTGCCAGTAAGAAAATGGTAGCCATACTGCATACAAACAAAGTGTGCACGGAGATGGATCGTCGAGAGCGCAGCCTGGGCAGGACAACTTCTCCCTGGCAAGCAGAAGCAGATGCTGCGCTATGGGGCTGCCAGGAGCACAGCCGGGAATTCTGCATCCCTACACCCAGGACCACGTGCAAGCAGCGGACGGAGAAGGTGGCACTCCGCACACAGAATTCTGATTCCAGAAGCACCCAACTTTCAAATTAAAACATTTACAGATTAGGCTTCTAATACTTGTATTTCCAAAGATGCATGCAAGCTGCGGCTGCTGAAACCCGAGAAGCCAGAGTGGTGGCTGGAAAGCACTTCCAACAGTTATCAATGGCGCTTCCGTGTTTTGCCCAGCAACCATCCCGCATATCTAAGTAAGGCAGAATAAAATGATCCGACGACGGAAGAAAGCCCTAACTGAAACCTTGGGTTGATGCGCTCAACATGCATGATGTATACAAGCTGGCGGGGGGAGCACATCTTTTGGTTTTAATTTTTTATCATTTATTTAAAACTTTTCTAGACTGTCCCCTACCATGGTCTCGGGATGGTTTAACAATAAGACAAAATAGAATAAAACACAGCATCCTAGTCAAAATCTTAACTAATCAACAATAAAACCCATATTAAAACAATCAAATCTTAAAACATTGGGAAAATCAAAAGGTTTTAGCCTGGCGCCCAAAAGAATCGTGATGGCGCCAAGCAAACCTCCCTGGAGAGCACATTCCACAATCAGGGCACCACCACAGAGAAGGCCTTCTCCGGGTAGCCACCCTCCTATCTCCTCCAAGGAGGGCTCCTGGAGAAGGGCCTCTGCCCCACACCTTAAGGGGCGGGCAAGCACATATGGAAGGCTCATGGATCACATGACACCACACAGCATAGAGAGTCTGGTTAGAGTACATTACCGCCACGGGCTGGGTATGAACTGGCCATTTTAAATTATGGGATGCTTTGGTTTGTCCAGATCAGAAAGGGCCCTGAAGTCACTCCTGCCCATCCACCTCCTTCATTTCCCAAGACGGAAGACATGCTGGGCAGGCACTGAAGTCCTCCGCCCAGAATGGGTATGTACCTTCACATAGATGACAGGGATCGTCTGCTTGGCTTTGGTGAAGTGGCGGGCCACACGATAGACCGTCTCAGGCACGAAGTCCAGGACTAAATTAAGATAAACCTCATCCTTCTGCAACAGATTGTTGAGAATAGGTGGGTGAGATGAAACCTCCAGGCCAGCTCCACCTTATAAAACAGCAGGGGACAACATGGGACCCTGAATGTATTGCCCGTGCTGTCCATGGGCACCTGTTAGAATCCCAGCTTCATTTGGAAATAATGATAAAAGGTTCTAGTGGCAATGAAATATGAAAAAGCGACGGGCAAAGATGGAAGCTTAATTTCTAAAATAAGAAAGGACCCTCCTGCTCACAATGATCCGGAAGACAAAGCTGGAGTCCTAAGCGTGGAGAGGCCACGCCTTGCTTGCTCAGTAGTAAATGCCAAAGCATCCAAGCTCAAAGGCATTTCCCAGCTGGGCTCCAGCCACGAAAATGAATCCTGCAGCCGAGCTCCGAAGAGCTGCGCTTTGGCAAAAGCACCAAAGGGCTAAAAACAAGGAAGCCAATTAAGATGAGTCTCCATTTGGTACTGTTATTAGCTCTGCCGGCATCCCTGCAGCCTGGATCCACTTTGCTCGCTTAAACTGAAGGATGAAGCCCTGACAAGTTGCCCTGGATAGAAACCCCACAGATGCAGGCAAAGCGTTCCACGGGGGCCTTCATGATGCAGATCGAGTTCCGTTACGTCCAACAAACTAATGCAAATTCACCCCAAACTTTTTCCAGATTGTTATTTTGGGGCAAAAGAAGCACCAGGGTGGCATGGCACTTTGGCTATGGCCGTGAGAGGTACACTGAATCGCCGTTCGGCCATGAAGCCTACGCGGCACAGCCACGGTCCTCCTCCTGACCTGCTTCACAAGACTGCTGTGGATAAAATGTGTGTGGGGAGAAAAACCATGAAAATGATCTCGAATTCCTCTAAAGAGAAGGATCTCAATAAAGGAAGTGCAGGCTGTTTGATCACATCTACACCACCTTCTTGTTACTTAACCCACATCCTTTGCTCTGTATTCATACTCACAAACGAGTTTCCACTTCACACAGGTACAAGGAGCAACTGAGAAAGTGCATACAGTATGGAGTGGAGGGAACTGTACCGGATCGTGAAAACAATGGTGACTGCAGGGCCTGGACTGGTTAAGTGAGTCTTAAAAGTGGGGGGCAAAAGAGCAGGAGGAGATGGGCGCCATTACTCTTTCATGGACTACACCAGGCACAGGCAAACGTCAATCTTGTTGCATCTACTTTGTGCTTTACTAGGTCTGGTGTAAAGGACACACACTTACAATTAAGCAATTCTAAGCCCAATAATTTGTTTCGAGCAGCAGAACTGAAGGGAACTTACAGTCCTTCCACACAAAAATTCTCTCCTGTTTACTCCAAGCCTTCTTCATTTCAGCAGTATAATTTAGGGTGTGTATGTGTTGGTATGTATGGTAGGGAGACTTTAATTTTGTCACTGCTATTTTAAACCACGGAGAGTCAAACATCCTTGCCAATCTCCTGCAAATCACCCAGAGATCTACCTGTAGATCCAAATCTACCTTCTGCACACCCCTGGCCTGAATAACCATTAACAGGTACTCACAACAAACCGTTCCCCCTTCCTCACCTTTTCCCCACTTGAGTAGAAGAAATATCGCAAGCGAACAATGTTACAGTGATCCAGCTTCCTCATGATCTGCAGCTCACGGTTCTGAGGTCAAGACAAAGAAAGAATAAGATGAGCTGTAGAATATGAGCAGCAAAATCTGTAGAGTATAAGCTGCTGTAGAATATGAGCAGCAAGACAGACCCTTTCCCTTTCAGCTCACCTTGAAGCGCTTGTCTTGCAACACCTTCTTGATGGCCACCAGCTCACCGGAGTCTGCTAGTCGGGCCTGGTAGACGACCCCAAATGACCCATTGCCAATGACCTTGATATCAGAGTATGAGACTTCCTGGGGACGGTCGGGGCCCTGGCCAGGTGTGGCAACCACAGTGGTTACCTTGCTGCTGTCTCCTGTTAGAAGGGAAGTGTTACAGAGCAGGGATCCAAGAGCCAGGTACATGCTCCAGTTTGTTCCGAGAAACCTCAAGCACCGCTTCTCCTCTACTCTCTGAATCCGTATTTAGGCCCTTCCCAGTCCCTCCAAATATTCTCAATATTCCACCTCTGAATGGAAGGCATTGGCCGATACTCAAGCCGCATCAGCTCATGAACTATTTTATCACTTATGCCAGACCTATAAACTTGCACCCTAAGAGAACCAGTGTGGTACAGTGGTTAAAAGTGTTGAACTGGACTCGGAAGTCTGGCTTCTAGTCCCCATTCAGCAACTTCGGGCCAGTGACTGCCTGCCAGCCTAACCTACCTGAAAGGGTTGTTGTAAGGATACAATGGTGAAGGGAAGAAACTTGTAAGCTGCCTTGCAAGAGGGAGAAAAGCAGGATATAAATGAAATGTAATAATGAAAAAATATACTTGACACTGTATGTCCTCCATTCCTGACAAAACCCAGATCAACAAAGAAAAACCTCAGCTAATTCTCTAGGTTACAGTGACACCTGACCAAAAGACTTTTATAGCAGGGAACATCACCACTAGTCCCCATGTATCAAATCTGACCTTTTAAGGTGTGCTGGTTGCTCCCACGACTGCTATTCACATAGGGAAGGGGAAGGGGAAGGGGAAGGGGGGAAGGGAGGGGGTAGCTCCAATTAGAAAGCAACCAGGCCATTCTGAGGCTAGGATTCTTAACCTGCATGTACTCTTCTCAAAGCAGACTGTGCTAATTGCTTTACCACAAATATCCTTGTTCCCAGCTATTTGCACCGAAGACTGTGCCCCCTTCTGTATGTCCGCCTTCCCTCACCCAACAACTTTACCCCCCCACACACACCCCTTTCAACCCCACCTGTACCACCATACCTGGGCTGCCATAGCCACACCCATTCTGCTACGTCCGTTACCAGGCAACCAGCCTCCACTCCAGCTCTCCCTGCTCTTCCATCAAGCATCATCACCTCTCCTTCCCGTTTCATCCAGCCCATTTCCCACTGCAGACCATTAAGCAGAAAGCACCGTGCCGCTTTTATACACTCTGTGCTTCTCAGCACCCGACAGGCGCTAAATAAAGGTTCAGCAAATGAGCAGTGGGTCACGGGCAACCTGCCCTAACCCCGTGCAAACGAACACCCCTGGCTACCCTCACTAACCTCCCCACTTCAATGATTTCATCCTGACGTCACCGGTATAATTCTGGACCCCCTGTCCCGCCACTGACCTCAAATAGCTTCTTGCTCCAAGCCCGAGGCCTGCCAGCGCAGAGGCGCAAGGTCTCCCTCGTGCCAGCCACCCGGATTTCTCTTCGCCATCCTCTCATGATCAAGCAACCCATCGTTCCCACACGCCCCGGCCCCGTGCGCTAGTTCCCCTGCACCCACCCCCAGGACCCTCAGGCAGGCACACTGCTGTCTCGCCAGCGTGCCCCCTCCACCTGCCCCCTCCTCCCGTTCAGCCCCAGAAGCCCCCCATCACCACCACCACCACCACCACGCTGATCTTCTGGAGACAAGGCGTGGCTCCCGGAGGCGCCTCCCTACCAGGCCATCTCAGCCAACAGTTCCCCACCTCCTCCAGGGCTGCCCACTCCGGTCTCCCCAGACGACCCCCTCGCTCACCCTCTCTCCGTTGCTCCTCCGTATCTCCCCCTCTCGGCCCCCGTACCAACCTCTTCCTCCTCCCCCTCCCCTCCCCTCCCCAGCACCCCCCTTTTCCTTTGCCCTTTCAAACTCCCCGCCCCGCTTTCCTTTCTCTTTGATTGATTTCATGCAGGCCCCCCATCTCCCCTCCCCCACTCAGTCTTTGTGTCCTCCCCCTTCCTCCTCCTCCTCTCACCATTCATTTCTCCCTCCGTCTCCTCCTCCGCCCCCTCCTCACCCCGCCAATACTTACGGCCGAGCTTTAGCCCCGGGAAGGCGCCCACCGACGTGCTGGTCCCGCCTCCCCCCGGCCCAGGCCCGGCAGCTCCCCCGGGTTTCCCCCCTGGCGGTGCCCCGGAGGTCGGGCCGGACGCGGTGTTAACCGTGGAGCTAGACCCGCCGGACGGGTCTGCGAAGGAACTCGTTCGGGGCCGGGAAGAGCCGGCGCTGCCGCTGCTCATGGTGAGGCCGGGACCGGGGAAAAGGGAAGGGGGGCCGCGCTGGCTGGCTGGCTCCGTCTGAGGCGGCTCGGGAGCCGGCCCAGCCCGGCCCTGCTGCAAGAGAGGATGGGAAATGGAGTCCTGGCCACCGGCTGCCTCCTTATCAGCTTCTAAAGGGAGGACTCCATTTCCCAGAAGCGGCGGCGAAGGGACCAGCACTTCGGGCTCCTGCCGAAGAACATCATGGGACATAGAGTCCCCAGATCCCGCAGCGGACCTCTGTCTGCGAGGCACAGAGACTACACGTCCCAGCATGCTAGGCGCACACCTGCAGCCTGAAGCAAGGAGAGATAGGAAATGGATTCCACGGTCGCAAAACGCTTTGCCTGGAGCTGATGAAAGGAGACTACGTCTCCCAGAATTCTCAGCGCGAAGACGGATAACCTATCGCAAAACAGGGCTACACGGCGGTCATGTTCCGCGAGCAGGGAAGGCTGAAAGGAAAGCCGAGCGAGGACGTTGACTACAATGAATGGACTACGCTTCCCATGGTGCATCGCTAGAAGAAAGGCCGTTGAGGGGAATGAGGACCGGGTGGGATCGCGGGGACACGAAACTCCTTAGCCGTGTCAGGTTGATGACCTCGAGGGTGTACGCTGGATCCACCCCTGTGAGACAAGATTCAGATCCCGTATGCAGCACGACGCGGAGAGGGGACACGGTTCCCGTCGTGCGCCGGGACGGGGAAGAGACACAATTCCCACCATGCACATCGCTGTTCGTGGAGGGGGTTTATGGGATATGTAGTTCCCCCTTCCGGGAGAAAAAATCTCGCGCGTTTCAGGCAGGTGGGAGGAGGGCGATTATTCTAATTTTGCAGTTTAAGCAACAAGGTGTGCGAGCTGCAGTTATTCAGGCCCCAAAGTCTTGATGACTTTTGGGCAAAGAAGGCAGGACATAAATGTTAGCAACGATAAATAATAGGCTTCTGTCTTTACTTTCGCTTGCAATGGGGAAAGTCGCCATATATTAATGGCCATATTAATTCGCATTTGGATCCCACCTTTGCTCCATGGAGCTAAGCGGGGCTGTGGCATACCAACCCTGTGGAGTCGGTGCCACCAAGAGGTAGTGACTGGCAAATCGCCCAATGAACGTGATAGCTGAGTGGAGACCAGATCTCAAGTCTTCCCTGTTCTTAGCTAGCCCGCTTTCTTCAGCCTGGTGCTTGGACTACATGCTCCATCAGACTTAGCCAACATAGCCAAATGGTCAAGGATTAGGGGATTTGTATTCGAGAGGCCTCTATATTGGGCAAGGCTGCCCCATCAGCTCCTCCATGCAGGCTCTCAGTAGAACTGTTTTTGCTGATTCAAATAGGGATTTGCAGTTTCCTGGTTTCCAAAACGGCATTGATGGAGTCATGGGTGGGCCATCAGTGAAGTTTGGCAGAATCTAGATCTGATTATCCTTTTAAGCCTCAAGATTGCTTCCCCTACAATGTGATTTTACTGTTCAGGCCGGCAAAGTGTAGGCTGCAGCAACATAAATACACCCCTGGTCCCAAAGGAACTGACAGTCTGAAGCAGAAATAACAGAAAGCCACAATTCATCAGTAACCATCTCATGGTGGTTTTAGATGAGAATCCCTCTGAAGAGAGAGAACATGAGCTCTCCCTCTATTCTCAGCAAGACATTCTGGCAAATCCCTTCATTGTCTTTGCCACCAGACTCTCTACATACCTGTTTTGGTTGGCAATATATGGTAGTGAGGGAGACTGGCATCCTTAGGGGGCTGGGTAAGATCCTTTGCCCTTCTATTGCTGTTCTTTTGTGTGTGTGCTTTTTTCCTAGGTAAATAAGCCTTCCTTTTGCATGTTGCTAAATAATCACAAAGTTTATTATTATTCAATCTTCCAGGCTGGTGAGTGTTAAATTGTTTTTATCTGTTTCACTGTATTGTTACATTTTATACATTTTTTAAATTTGGTTGTTAGCCATCTTGAGTATTGTGATTTCAAGAAAAGGGCAGTGTGTCAGTCCTCTTAAATAAATAAATATAAATAAATGTGTTAGAGAAACGCCTCTGCTTTCAGCAGCAAAGCCAAATCTTGCAAATGAATTCTAGACTAAATGTCTTTTTGCACCCCCAACATGCAAGAACAAAAACGAAAAAATTAAAAAGGTAAGGAACCACACCTGAAATTGCACACACCTTGAAACAACAAGTGAGAGAGAGAGAGAGAGAGAGATACAAAAAATGCTTTCATTCCATGCCCTGGAGGCCACTGTTCTTTTGTCAACAAATTGGTTCTGGACAGATAGAAGTATTACTGTTAAGACATGTCAGAATAATATCCATCGTGCTTACTGCCCTTAAGGCATTTACAAAAATGAGCTTAAAGTCACAAGCCTACACACATTTAATGTGGAATATGCCCCAACGAGCTTCATGGGATTTATTTCGCAGCAATAGCCTTGGATTTGAAAGAGCTGGACGGGGCTGTCATGGGCAGGTCATTTTGAAGGGCTTTTATTCATGGGGTTGCAGTAAGTCAGGGACGCCCTGATAGCTCGTGGCAGGAAGCTTGGCAGCTTGCTTGAATAAGATTACACCCGAGCGGTCACAGTGTTCCTCTGGAAGAGCTCTTACAGCGGCCCAGTTCACATGGAATGAGGATTCAAAGTGTGCCTTGTGGCGTCCTGGGGTGCTATCGCATGTGACTCTGGGGCTATACTAGCCATAAACAATCCATGAACAGAGCCCATGGACCTCATCCACATGGCATGCAAGGCCCCGGTTAAACAACTCACGGTCTGTTTTGTGCAGTCTGTTCCATTGGGTCAACCACCCAGCTCACCGCTCTTCTACCCCTCCATGGTTGTGCTGCACTTTAACACCATTCCTGTGTTCCTGATATGCCAGAACAACAACGCTGATCTGAGAGAGAGAGAGAGAGAGAGAGAGAGAGAGAGAGAGAGAGAGAGAGA